AATTTATTTAACTAATACTCTCACAATTTGTTTAACAGAGTAGAATTTCCGTAAGCGTGCAATTAATGAATATGTAAATATATAAATTTGCTCTACTTGATTTTTATGCATTACGTTTATGATATCATCTATCTCTTTTCCAGGTGGTAATTGTACACTACCATTAGGCAAAATTTTCATATGCTTTTGAACATTAAATAACAAATTTAGAAATAAATACCATTGTTCTGATGACACTCTACTTTCTTCCATCAATTGAACAAGTTTCTCTTTAGTAGTAGTTGTCATTGAGTGCATAATAAATTTTCTTTCTCTTATTGCTTCCAATTTTAAGGCTTTTTGCCAAGCTTCAGGAGACTCTACATACCCATTTCCTTTGCTAAGAAGTGATTTATATATCTGTACGATTTGTTTAGTTCTAAAATCTCTCACTTCAGTAAACGCATATTTTTTTAGATAAACAGAAAAACAGGTCATTAGAGCAACAGCTATTTCTTGAGATCTTTCTTCTTCATTTTCGAAAAGAGTTGCCAAACAAGTTGGGAGATTTTTTAAAAGATATATATAATGTGACCTATCTTCTTCTTCCATTATGCAATGAAATCTTTATAACTAATTCTCTATAATGTGTGTTTTTTCTAATTATGGGAATTTCCTTCAGATTGTAATAGATAGTTTGTGTGCATGTACCTGCAATGATATTACCAAACAATTGCAACACAGTTCTTCTGTCATAATCTGAATTATAATTCGCATTATCATTCTAATTCGAACACCAGCTCAAAATACGTTACATTACTATTTATAGATGTCTATGGATAACTTCAATCAAATTTCTATTAATTTATACAATTAGTATTAATATATATACTTATCAACATTAATATAGAACAATTAAAATTTTGTTTCAACATGTGGGAAATTAGGTTAGCTGAAGTTAAAAATTGTATAACTAAAATAATTTATTACTGATTCATAATATTTATTAGCATATAGTAGTTGTTTTTGCATAAACAATTTTATCGATTGTGTTAATCCGAGTATATATTAAAATAAGTATATATTAAAATAAGTTTTACAAACTCACGTCTTTCATTCTAGGCTGTCATATGAATTATATCTAGTTATATCTATCTCGCTTTAAGTTCAAAAAGTGTACAGTTCAACTACAGAAAATAGACAAGGAGAGAAGGCGGAAAGAGTACAGAAGGTTCAAGTATATAAAGAATAGATCTGTATAATTACACTTCCTATGCTAAAAAGGAAATAAATATGCTATTAGCGAAAGAGAAATTATAAGAAATATAAAGTTCAACCAGAGAGAAATCTGAGAGTGGACATTCCGACTTTTTTCGTGTACCAAACTTCGTAGGGTAATGTCCATGTTTTTGTGGTTCTGTTCCATACTATTACATGGATTAGCAAAGAAAATGACGAATAATCAACTTTAATTGTTTGTTGTTATAAAAACGTGATACTACTCTACAAGGTTTGATACACGAAAAAAACCGGGATGTCCACTCTCAGATTTCTCTCTGATTGAACAAAACCCACACAGCATAGAAGATTGAAGCAATATTGCTGCAATGTTGCAATATTACAGATTGCAATGCAACAGAGGTATTACAGAAATGTAAATTAACATATGCCTGCAAAATGTAATATGCTTGTAATATTCCACAAACATTGCAAAACTGTAATTCTTTAATTGTTACAATAATAATATTATAAAAATATGAGTTTTTAAATATTTATATAGTACAGTCTTTTAGTTTAACAGCCGTTTTTATGATATAATAATTAATATAATCCATTTTATATTTAAATAAAAAATTTATTGATCTATTATTTAACAGCCATTTCATTAGCTAAATTTTATATTTATTTTAAATATGAAATCAAAAGATTATATTGAGATAGTAAAAGATAATATTGAGTTTGGATACAATTAATGTATCATTATCGGATAAGATGATAAGCAATTAAACTGCTGAAAACAATTTATCGAAATATTAATTATGTGATCGATGATCGTATTTATGCCTGATGAGAATGCAAGAATAAACCAGCGCTTTATTGATCAATTTCATATAATCATTTTTTAATCGATTTCAATTGACTCGAAGTGCTAATTGTACACTACCATTAGGCAAAATTTTCATATGCTTTTGAACATTAAATAACAAATTTAGAAATAAATACCATTGTTCTGATGACACTCTACTTTCTTCCATCAATTGAACAAGTTTCTCTTTAGTAGTAGTTGTCATTGAGTGCATAATAAATTTTCTTTCTCTTATTGCTTCCAATTTTAAGGCTTTTTGCCAAGCTTCAGGAGACTCTACATACCCATTTCCTTTGCTAAGAAGTGATTTATATATCTGTACGATTTGTTTAGTTCTAAAATCTCTCACTTCAGTAAACGCATATTTTTTTAGATAAACAGAAAAACAGGTCATTAGAGCAACAGCTATTTCTTGAGATCTTTCTTCTTCATTTTCGAAAAGAGTTGCCAAACAAGTTGGGAGATTTTTTAAAAGATATATATAATGTGACCTATCTTCTTCTTCCATTATGCAATGAAATCTTTATAACTAATTCTCTATAATGTGTGTTTTTTCTAATTATGGGAATTTCCTTCAGATTGTAATAGATAGTTTGTGTGCATGTACCTGCAATGATATTACCAAACAATTGCAACACAGTTCTTCTGTCATAATCTGAATTATAATTCGCATTATCATTCTAATTCGAACACCAGCTCAAAATACGTTACATTACTATTTATAGATGTCTATGGATAACTTCAATCAAATTTCTATTAATTTATACAATTAGTATTAATATATATACTTATCAACATTAATATAGAACAATTAAAATTTTGTTTCAACATGTGGGAAATTAGGTTAGCTGAAGTTAAAAATTGTATAACTAAAATAATTTATTACTGATTCATAATATTTATTAGCATATAGTAGTTGTTTTTGCATAAACAATTTTATCGATTGTGTTAATCCGAGTATATATTAAAATAAGTATATATTAAAATAAGTTTTACAAACTCACGTCTTTCATTCTAGGCTGTCATATGAATTATATCTAGTTATATCTATCTCGCTTTAAGTTCAAAAAGTGTACAGTTCAACTACAGAAAATAGACAAGGAGAGAAGGCGGAAAGAGTACAGAAGGTTCAAGTATATAAAGAATAGATCTGTATAATTACACTTCCTATGCTAAAAAGGAAATAAATATGCTATTAGCGAAAGAGAAATTATAAGAAATATAAAGTTCAACCAGAGAGAAATCTGAGAGTGGACATTCCGACTTTTTTCGTGTACCAAACTTCGTAGGGTAATGTCCATGTTTTTGTGGTTCTGTTCCATACTATTACATGGATTAGCAAAGAAAATGACGAATAATCAACTTTAATTGTTTGTTGTTATAAAAACGTGATACTACTCTACAAGGTTTGATACACGAAAAAAACCGGGATGTCCACTCTCAGATTTCTCTCTGATTGAACAAAACCCACACAGCATAGAAGATTGAAGCAATATTGCTGCAATGTTGCAATATTACAGATTGCAATGCAACAGAGGTATTACAGAAATGTAAATTAACATATGCCTGCAAAATGTAATATGCTTGTAATATTCCACAAACATTGCAAAACTGTAATTCTTTAATTGTTACAATAATAATATTATAAAAATATGAGTTTTTAAATATTTATATAGTACAGTCTTTTAGTTTAACAGCCGTTTTTATGATATAATAATTAATATAATCCATTTTATATTTAAATAAAAAATTTATTGATCTATTATTTAACAGCCATTTCATTAGCTAAATTTTATATTTATTTTAAATATGAAATCAAAAGATTATATTGAGATAGTAAAAGATAATATTGAGTTTGGATACAATTAATGTATCATTATCGGATAAGATGATAAGCAATTAAACTGCTGAAAACAATTTATCGAAATATTAATTATGTGATCGATGATCGTATTTATGCCTGATGAGAATGCAAGAATAAACCAGCGCTTTATTGATCAATTTCATATAATCATTTTTTAATCGATTTCAATTGACTC